ATAAAGCAAGAAGAAGAAGACGCGTCACGCGCCTGCTTTTGAAAATGCACTCAGGACAGTTTGAACAGTTCGGACATTGCAGTAAATCAGAGGTAAAAAAACGTATAAATACTGTTCAGTTTCTTGCACAGACCGATCGTTTTGTGTTGCTTTACATATCAATGTATTGTCACGAGCCGCAGGGTTTAATTTGGTTTCGTTTGTGTATGTTTTTTTTACTCTCAAAGCCGTGATTCCCATCCACTTCCATTATATGACTGACAGACTGCAACGGTTTGAGTTAAAAATCTTCGTTTGTGTTCTACTGAAGAAACAAAGTCACCTACATCTTGGATGCCCTGGGGGTAAGTGGATACACATCACATTTTCATTTTTGGGTGAACTATCCCTTTAAGCTTGTGCATTAAGTTTTGCTCATAAAACTGGAACTTAGGAACACAAGCTATGAACTCAATTAAGTCTCTTTCTGAATCACGTATAAGGAAGCTGCCTGTACAGTCCAGTGCATGTTTATGTTTATACAGTATATATATATATGCACATATATGACACTAGAAGTGGAACTTATATTGAACTTATTAGACCTAAAAATGTACAAAACTAAAACTGACAAAGTATTTCTGTTTAATAGGGGGGGAAATCTCGCTACTGGTACCCTTGGTTGGGAATCAGTGTGAGGATAGAAATGTTCCTTTTCAGACACACATCACCCTCTGCTGTCCATTTAGATGAACAGATTCTCTCACTGATGTGGTGGAAATTTTGGATGGAGAATGAATTGTTTTCTTTAAGAAATTGGTGTAGTGGAAATTCAGATTAGACTGTGTTTGTATTGACAATTTCCATGACAGTGACTACCGACTAAATCCTGCCGGGGACAGGTGATTCAAAATGTTATTTTTTGTGTGTGTTTGCATTGAATTAAAAATGTAAAGTAAAATCAAATTGATTCTTTTGCCATCCAGGCACCTAAACAAATCTAGCACAAGATGTTGCACAGGAGAGTGCTTTATTATAAAAAGAGACTGTACATAAAAAGAAAAACATTATATATACAAACCGATAATAGAGATTATATTATTTGCAGATAACCTGCAAAGGAACATTTAAATTACAGATCACTTGCACATCATATGACAAGGCCTTGCAATGCTTAACATTTTAAGTGGTCATTGTTCAGACAGCTCTATGTGAGTTACATCCTCACAGATATTTCATTGGATTAAATAAATTAAAACACTGCTCGCCTTCAACAGCTGTTTGAGACACTTCTAAAAACCAGCAACCATGAATCACCATGATGTTTGTGCCATGCTAACAGTTATGAGCTCACGTTCATCAGTACTATACACTAAACTTGACCCCCTCCCATGAAATCTATGGATTATCATCTAAATTCAGCAAAACTTGTGAACTGGTCAAAACAGAAAGACAAATTCAGCTTTGCATGGTCTCCCTACATGAAATCTACAATGACAGAAACTGATTTCTGCTACATTATGAAACATTTGAATCTGTGGGCAATGCTAGAGACTGGTTCAGCTAGTGAGCCAGTGTCGCCCGCTCAGTGCAACATAATAAAGTTCACAATACTTCAGCAGTTTCAACAAATACCCCATCAAAGATCAGCTTTGCAGTTTAAACTCACAGCATATGGGTGAATCGCATGAAAACATGTCTAAGTCACAAAAGAAAAAACTGTTTTGCATAAAGGAAACGAAGCCTGTAGGACCATCAAGAAGTTTTGCATGTAATAGGCATTTTACTTTTTTTTTTTTTTTTCAATTCCCATTATTGATTATCATTAATGTAATAAATTTTTCATACTTAAATGAAAGACTACCATAATGCATCCAAACAATTAAAATAATATATTATATTGTCACATTACAGCAATGAGATTGCATGATTTTTGCATTATGGTAAAAAGAATTTTGGGGGAAATGTGCTTAACTGTCATGAAAATAATGCCGCAATGCAAAAAAAGGCATCATTGTCTATATACAAAATATAATTTGTTATTATCATATATTTTTCAATTTTTTGGGTGAAATATATAAAGTGTGGACCTGTTTTTGACAGGTTTATGAAGTTTAGTCTGATATGCAGGAGAATCTCTGCACATTACTAGTGATGGGATGATTGACACCGAGGCTCCGACGCAGTTTTCAAAGCACTATTGTATCACACACTGTGCCGATGCTTGTATCGGAATGACAATACCACGTGATTGATGACGTTTGAAGCTTCGAACGTCATTCAGTATCGGAAGTAAAAAAAATCGTTGCTTCACATGATTCTTGTGTTTGACTTTACATTGACTTGGTTGTGTGTGTGTGTGTGTGTGTGTGTGTACACTTAATTGGGATTCAGTAGAATAGTTTAGAATAACCTCAACACCAGACAGAAACTGAATGTACGTCAACACCTCTATTGCATTTTATCATGTTCTAACTGGGGTCTCAGAGCCCCCGAAAAGCTCACCCAAAATATTTTTGCTACTACTCACGGCAATTATTAATTATAATCACACACTTGTATATTTTAAATTATTGATCGATATGTGAATGCACTGACCGGACTATGCATGACACGAGTTGGCACAGATTAAAAACTTTTTCAAACCATCCTCTGTTCCGCGATGTTTCGTTAGCTAGGCTGGAGAAACAGAGTCTGACCACCAGATGTCGCTAATGCGCACTGTGTTAAAAAGCTACGAGTAACGAACCGTTTTTCGGCACAATTTGATGAAAGCCTCAAACGGTTCAGAAAGCCTCGGTTTCCCATCACTACACATTACTGCATTGGTCTTTTCCCTCACCTTACATCCATGAGGTAAAATGATAGAAAATATTAGCGAATCCTGAAGGCGAAACGAAGGTAAAGACATAATTGTCATTTTTATATTGTTGCCTAATTATTTTCCAGGCATAATAATATTCCAGAAATGACATTCAAATATTTCTTCCTCACGTAAAGGAAGAGCTTGACCGTTTAGGGGCCGTTTACACAACGTTTTCAGCCAAAAAACGTTTTATGCGTTTTGACTGCTTGTTTACACGACAACGGCGTTTTGGGGACCGAAAACACATATTTTTGAAAATGGGTTTCAAAGTGCAAGTTTTTGAAAACGCCACCGTTATCGTTTCCGTGTAAACACCATAGACTGTATAAAGTGGGCGGAGCCGGCTGTCGCCATCTTGGCACTCCCGGACAATCGAAAATGGGCAAAGAGGCGGGAGCTTGTTACTGAAACCACGCCCACCTAGCTTGACGGTGGTGACAGCAGCGGCAATCCACCTGTCACTCAAGTGGCCACGCCCTTAATTATGCAGAAGTTTAAGGCTTAATATAATTTAAACGAATGAGTTATAAAAAAAAAAATTCACCCCCCTCACAGTTGTCATGAAGGGCAAAATTAGCTATATAGACCAAAATAATTTTTTGAACCAGGCTGTAAACATGTTTTTTTCCGCTGTAAAGTTGGGCATTTTAACGAGGAGTCTATGGGATTGACTCTCTTTTGCAACCAGCCTCTAGCGGCCAGATGACGAATTACAGTTTAAGTCACTTCCGTTTTGGCTTCACGAGAGAGAGCGGGAGGTTGCCGCTTGCCGCACCCAAAACGGGAATCTTTGAAAACGGTGACGTCGTGCGTAGTGCGTGTTAGGTATGTAGACATGCGCAGTCCGTGTCAATTTTAAAGGCAAGCGCGAACAAACATACACAACAATGACGGAGTACTGTTGTTGCTGCTCAAGAGTTTGCTAATGCTTCTTCAGCAAAGTGTGGATTTACTTCACCAATATTACAACAGCGGAGATGCATCATATACAACATATAATCGTTACTTCCCTACAGGTACTGTTTACTAACAAGGTGGCAGCGCCAACTACTGGCCTGGCATACGTAATACAGCATTTTTGGCCATTTTCGCGTAAGTGTAAATGCGAATCGTTTTGATGTACAGTGGGTACGGAAAGTATTCAGACCCCCTTAAATTTTTCACTCTTATGAATGCGGCCAAGTACAGGGATTTCCTGGACGAAAACCTTCTCCAGAGTGTTCAGGACCTCAGACTGGGCCGAAGGTTTATCTTCCAACAAGACAATGACCCTAAGCACACAGCTAAAATAACGAAGGATTGGCTTCACAACAACTCTGTGACTGTTCTTTAATGGCCCAGCCAGAGCCCTGACTTAAACCCAATTGAGCATCTCTGGAGATACCTAAAAATGGCTGTCCACCAACGTTTACCATCCAACCTGACAGAACTGGAGAGGATCTGCAAGGAGGAATGGCAGAGGATCCCCAAATCCAGGTGTGAAAAACTTGTTGCATCTTTCCCAAAAAGACTCATGGCTGTATTAGATCAAAAGGGTGCTTCTACTAAATACTGAGCAAAGGGTCTGAATACTTAGGACCATGTGATATTTCAGTTTTTCTTTTTTAATAAATCTGCAAAAATGTCAACAATTCTGTGTTTTTCTGTCAATATGGGGTGCTGTGTGTACATTAATGAGGAAAAAAATTAACTTAAATGATTTTAGCAAATGGCTGCAATATAACAAAGAGTGAAAAATTTAAGGGGGTCTGAATACTTTCCGTACCCACTGTATACGTGAAATTTTTTTTTAAACGCAAAGGGAAAACGTTTCCATTTTGACTACATCGTTGTCGTGTAAACGTAGCCTTTAGTTAAAAAACAAAAAAAACGCTTTTTGGAAAAAACAAACAAACTGACTAGCCTTAGCGGGCACTTGGCAAATACGGGTCTCTATACAATGACAAAACACGCACAAAAACAAACACTAGCAACAGCCTACAGGCAACGTCTCACTGTAATATATGTACAAAATGTATGAGGCAACCTAACCAGAAAGTAGTGCGACTTGTTTCTTCTCATATTCTTTGTAGAGGCAATACGAGCCCTGTCTCCTCAAACCTTGAGCACTGCAGATGCTTGGATACATTGGCGATTGGACAAAAACAAACATTCAGTCATATCCTAATGCACTTTGCGATGGTTTGTAACTGATTGGCTGCATTGTCTGATGTCTCTGGGATTTAACATTAGTCAGCGTAGTGCATGATGGATTCAACGTAGTTGCCAGGAAACAGTCCGGTCACACCATTACACAAGCCCTCGAACCAGCCATCATCATTTTTCTTGATGATGTAGATGATGGCGCCCTCCATGAAGGACAGCTCATCATCTTTGTCCTTTGTGTAGTCATAGATGGCCACCACTGAAACAAAGGAGACAGGGTTAGTATGACATGGGTTAGAAAGTCTATTTATTTATCTATCTGTCTGTCCATTTCTATATCTATACATCAGTATATCCATCTGCATCTTATTTACCGTCACAAATTTAAAAGCCATTCTCAATTCAAAACATTAAAAAGAATAAAAAATGAATTAAAAAGAACTTTGAAGAAGGAGAAAATGGCAACTCAAAGGCAGAAGGCGCTCTCTTACCCTTCTCCAAGTAGGATTTTGGGGCCCAGTGCGGTTCTCCATCCGCATAGGGGTCATTGTAGTGCACCAGAGCTGTGTCTTCTTCATCATAATCCACAGGTGGAGGTGGAGGGGGCGGAGCTGCTTCCTCAAACATGAGCGTGTCCTCAGGTAGAGGAGGAGGGGGTGGAGACGGGCTGTCTGTTACTGGAGGACAAAGAAGGGGGGGAAACCCTCACTATGACATGATTCAGAATCCTAAATTTATAAACACCTCTCTTATCTACTTTTAATGCAATCAAATTATTACCAGGTACAACGAAATGTTTTATTATTTGTTTAAACAATACTATTTCACATGCGTATACTATAATTCCTCAATGGTTATTACAATCTTTCTAAGAAATAATAACAATAGATGCCAATAACACTAAACATCTTGTCAAATGTTTGTTTTTAATGACTTATTCCTCATTATGATATCAGGAGTGTTGGACTTTATGCCCCACAATAATATTCAATTAATAAATTTAAAAAAATGTTTATCAAAGACGACATTTATTCAAGTCATTTTATAAATTAAAATCAATTGATTGTCATTGACCCTAAATATGAGGAATAGCAACAGTGCTGTTAACCTTAGAAAACACCTCCAATAAAATGCTATATTATTATATTTTATTACAGTTTAAATTCTATCTATTAAAAATATCTACATCTTAAAAAAAATACAAGTATTAAATAAATGCTAAATTTCAGGTTCAGAGAATAATTCAGACAGTGCAGGCTACAGGTAGGTGAGCGGAGCCCATATGTGAAGGACTAAGCACTATGCTTCTGTGTGCATTACTCACTGTTCTCCTGAACTCTGGCCACAAAGCCAGTGAGAGGAATCTGGGGCGTCAGCTGCACCATGGGAGGAGGTGGTGGAGCGACAGACACTGGAGTCACACGGAGCGCACACACACACACACACACACACACACACACACAGCCCGACAGACAGACGATAATAGCCAAAAAAACAAGCAAAAGCAAACAAGCCCAAAGAGTAAAACACAGATAAACAGACAGAAGGTAAAAGCCATTGTGAGTTATTGTGACATGAAGAGATGAACAGCAGAAAAGCAGGCAGATCATCAGTTACTAGGTCTGCTAGTTGCTAGTAACCTCATTTATTACCAAGAAGTAATTGGTGCAGCTAGTGGCTAAGAAATTACACACTTGAGCTTGATATTTGTTAGCTAATGCAATGGCATTCAGGCATTTTAAAGTGCAAATGAAAGGTACAGTTCACCCAAAAACGAAAATTTGCTGTTAATTTACTTAACCTCAAGCCCTTCAAGATGTAAGTGACTTTTTTTCTTCAGTAGAACAGTAAAGAAGATTTTCGGCTAAAACCGTGAACCGTGTGATTCACATAATGCAAGTCAATGGCTATTATCACTTCGAGAGTCGAAAAAAAAAGCATATAAGGCAACACAAAATGAATACTCGTGGCTCCTGACGATATATTGAGGTCTTATGAAGAGAAATGATCAGTCAGTGCAAGAATCTGAACATTATTTACAACATTATTACCTGTAATCCAGAGCCTTGGGTAAACAAGGAAGTCGGATTCTTTTCAGTGAACTGGTTCTTTCGGACAGTTCGTTTCAATGAACGGGTTTAAATAACTGATTCACCCACTCGTTTACGTAAACACGCAATGACGTAACATATCTGCAATTATAATATTAAAGAACCCAATAATGAAGTGAAACGCTGATGTTTTCCATGTTTAAAGCATATTAAGTTAATAAACTACTCTTAATCAACTCACCTTTTTACATAAACCACGAGAAACCAAAAAAAACGTTCATTTCGCCCATTCCAGACATCACTCTGGATTGTTTGCCTGAGGCTGTTATACATAAATGTTCAGTTTCTTACACAGACCGATTGTTTCACTTCATAATACCTCAATATATTATCAGGAGCCATGAGTATTAATTTTGTGTTGCCTGATATGCTTTTTTTTGACTCTCAATGTGACGGTAGCTGCTGACTTTAAGAATGACCAAGAACCTCAGTTTCAGCTAAAAATCTACTGTTCTACTGAAGACAAAAAGTCACCTACATCTTGAATGACTTGAGGGCGAGTAAATTGTTTTTGGATAAACTATACCTATAATTGTCCAAATACTTTTTAGGGTCACTAAACATCTCCCTAAGGTGGATCTGAACTCACTTGTGTTCTGGGGGTATGTGGGACCCCCGTTCAGATGGGGTTGAGGCACAGAGAACTGGGAGGAGCTGGCAGGGGCGCGCCGGTAGGTGCCGGTGGCTGACACCATCGAGGCGGAGGAAGAAGTGGTGGAGGAATTGTGTCTGGAGATCTGCCGGGAGATTGTTCCAAACTGAGACATCGGGATCGGACCCAAACCTGGACCTGGAGGAACCCCTGTAGAGAGGACAGAAGAAAAGGACAGTCACAGAAAATATATATATATTTTTTTTCTATATTGATTTCACTTAAATGTTATCATCTTGATATGACAATGGTCATTGCCCAGCCCTAATGGCCAATGTGAAAAATGTGAGTGGTTACCTGGTGCCATACTGGGAGGGGAGGGTGTCGGCACAGCCAGAGGGATTCCCATACTATTACTGCTGTTCTCTCGACCGCCACTGCCCCCACTACTGCCACTGAGACAACGAGAGACAATCAGGTTACAAAGAGCTATTAAAGCAACAAGCATGATTGCCATAAAAGTGGCATCCTTTCAAAGTCATTTATGACATTATCAAAACCTTTTACAACTTGAATCTGGAGAATAAATGTGATAAATAAAAGGTTAAGAAACCGTTTACTGTTATTTCTAACCTTATTGACCTTCAGCATTCTCAGTGAGTATAACAAGGCCGCTGGGAAAGCAATGACAGCGTTGAATCAAATTTATGAGCAAAGAGAAGAAGACCTCCAGATTTATACTAGTATTTAAACAGTGCCATAGAATTTCAAAAATGACCAATGAACAAGTATAAGTGAATGCCATAACTTCACTGACACTGACGAGGAAAAGGAAATAAAGATGGAGATTGTGATAGAGTTTAGGGATGTTCCAAAGCTGCACCAACATAAATCATTTTTAGAGGTTAGAAACATATGGAAGCTAATTTCCAGTTCTTTATTTCTCACAATCACGGCGACTTTTATCTCACAAAAGCAAGCAATATATATATATAAAAAAAAATACTACCATGAAACCCAACATTCAATGTTCAGTGCATGTTCTGATGTTTGTTTTTTTTGTTACATTTTAGCTCTTGTAAAAGACGAAATAAATTAGAATTCACATTTATGACTCCAAGATACATTACCATTTAAAAGTTTGGGTTTGGTAAGATTTTTAAAAGTTTTTGAAAAAAAGTCTCTTATGCTCACCAAGGCTGCATTTATTTGATCAGAAACACAGTAATATTGTTAAATATTCTTACCATATAAAATATCTGTTTTCTATTGTAGTGCATTTTAAAATGTAGTTTATTCCTGTGATGCAAAGCTGAATTTTATTAGCAGCTGTTACTTCAGTCCTCAATGTCACATGATCCTTGAGAAATTAATCTAAGAATCATTTCTTAATATTATCACTGTTGAAAACAGTTGTGCTGCTTATTAATTTTGTGGAAACAGTGATACATTATTTTCAGGATTCTGTGATGAATAGAAGGTTCATAAGAACATCTGACATAGAAATTTTTTATTAAAAAGTCTTATAAAACTCCCGACGGTCACTTTAAATCAATTTAATGCATCCTTGCTGAATAAAAGGATTAATTCCTTTCAAAAAATAAAAATCCCCAACCTTTTGAACTAGTGTATATTCCAGTATGTCTCAAACCATCAGAAGGCCTGCGTTGTCTTGTGAATGCATGCGCGAGCTGTACCTGTGCGTTCGGGGTCTCTGATTGAGCGAGGCAGTGCGTCCTGGGCTGTTCTGGCTGCCCAGACGTGCTGGACTGGTCATGTAGTCATTAGGCACCACAGGAGGTTTGACTGGCTCGAGCGTCTTATACGGTGTGTTTCGTCTGAAAAACAAAAACACACATACAAAAAATGATGTTCAGATGCCTAAAAACACAAGAACTGTAACAGCATAAATAACAAAAATCACATGAGACAGGATATTTTATAACATTCTAATAATGGAGGTGTGCAAAACAGCATGGACACATGGAAAGTGAAATACAGTGACTTACCCCAGGGTACCTCTCCCTGCCATGGGTGGGCTTGGGGGCTTCTGTGTGGGTGGGTTAGTCCTGGATAATGTTCCTCCACCTCCCCGAGCTGGCTGGTTATTCCCTTGCTGAAAGACATTCGACAGGGAAAACAACATTAAGACAACTTTCACAGTCATGATAATATCTGATAATTCTAAATGCTAATTGGTTGCAAACATACAGCATGATGTAAATTACAAAGAGATGATTATACTGAACAAAACAGAAACATTTTTATGATGTGTTGTGTGCAGGCTGAATTTTACTGAGCCATTACACTTTTATAATGGTACCAGTTTTTCCTCAAATAAATGGAAGATATTTATCATCTACAGTCTACTCGTATTAAATTATGAAAATGCACTATAATGTGCATTCCACAACATTGTACAAAATGTTTGATGCTTGATACAGGAGCCACAAAGCAAAGTGGGTTGTGTAAGGCTGTACTTACCTTTGCTTTAAGCCACTAAGTGAAAGCATTAAAGAAGAGAGAAGATAAATCATGTTATTTAATCACTTGAACTTAATGAAAAAGTGAGAGAGGAGAAGCGAAACAAAAGACCTTTGAATAAAGAACAAACACTGATCTAATTTGACTGATAGGAATCAAGACAGACAGAGCAGAAAGTCAAAGCTGCTTACACAAAACTACTGAATGATAATCACATAAATATCAGTCATAATTAGTAATTACCATCTAATCAGGCTCATTTAATACAGAAAGCAGAATACTGAATCGAATCAAATGTCTTTTCTAGCTTACAGTGTATTTCTAATAAATAATTATCCCTAACGTTCAATATTATAATGCATATATATATATATGTTTGTTTTTGTAAACATACATACACACACACATATATATATATATATTTTTTTTTCCCTTCTTTTTTTACATGTTGAAAAAAAAAATAGTATGTTCATTTTCATTTTCTGTGGTAACATAACTGGTATGGATAATTGATACATACACACACACATATATATATATATATATATATATTTTTCCTTCTTTTTTTACATGTTGAAAAAAAAAATTGTATGTTCATTTTCATTTTCTGTGGTAACATAACTGGTATGGATAATTGTACATTTTTACTGGTACTGTTATCGAATTTTGAAATTTTGTTATAATAACAATCCGACATCCACCAATTCTGATAATGGCAACATAAAGTTGTGACTGATGGTGGAGGAGAGAGGTGTGTCCTCTGGGCATGTCAATCACAGGTGACTGACACAGAGAGAGCAACATTTGAGGAGTCAAGTGTCCTAATTACAGAGCCAGCGTGAGGGCAGCCTGCGTGCCTTTACTCCGCCGAGGGGGAAAAGGTCAGCGCACATCAGCATGAAACTAATGAAGCAGTTAAAACAGGTCTTGGGGTGAGCTGCTGGCACATGGCCTCAAGATCTGCCTCAATTATATATATATATATATATATATATGGAATTAAAAGACTGAACAGCCAGTGAATAACGTTGACACTGTGCAACAACACACCATCCACACCAATCATGTCTTCATCCCATAAAATATAAATAAATAAAAGACACATAAAGGTCAAAGTAAAAATACAAAGACATCTTTCTTAATTACATCTCAGTTGAGATAGCGACAATCTAATGTGATAACATCGGCAAGAGGGTCCAGACTCCGAGAGCAAACTGATGTCATTATAACAGCTCAGAGCTGACACTGATGGACATGAATAATGTAATAACATGAATATCGTGAGGGAAACCCGAGAGGGGTCTACACACACACACACACACGCACGCACGCACGCACGCACGCACACACACACACGCACACACGCACGCACGCACGCACACGCACACAGACACGCACAGGCACAGGCACAGGCACACACACACACACACAGGTTTGTTTTTGTGAAAAGTGGGGACATCCCAT